TCCCTTGGAAATAACAACTTGACCTTTGACTCAATTCAATCTTTAGAACCAGAGCAAATTTTTGTGAAAGCCATTGTGAAGTGAATTTTTCTTCCAGTCATGGCAGCCAAACAGTTTTTGTTTACTACCCTTGTAAGAAATTCTACATGACTGCCCAACCCCTATTGGGGAAAATTAAGAGACAAGGGTAAGAAAAATGCATTTTTTTTACCCTTAGGGGCCATTCATAAAGTGCTTATTGATATCTCTGTTGGACTTTAGGAGATAATTAATTACAGCTATGATTGCAGTTGTTATTACATTCACATTTTGCACTATTAGGTGGGGCGCTTGGATCCTGAACATGGCCGAGTGGCGGGCCATACACAAGATGTGTTGGATGTTGCCTGGAATCCTTTTGATGACAATATGGTTGCTTCATCATCAGAAGATACCACTGTTAAAATCTGGCAAATTGAGGATGAGGGCCTTGGCAAAGTAGATAAGTGCGAACCCTTATTAAGCCTGGAAGGATTTTCTCATCAAAGGAAAGTGCATCAGATCCTGTGGCATCCTGTGGCATCCAATGTCCTACTTAGTGCCAGCTTTGACCCCAAGATTGTTATCTGGAACTTGGATAGTGGAGAAGCTGCCATAGAAATTGACTGTCACCCAGATCTAATTCAATCTGTCTCATGGAACAGCAATGGGAGCAGAATTGTCACCTCTTGTAAGGACAAGAAGATAAGAATCATTGATGTGCGAAAAAATGAAGTTGTTTGTGTGAGTATGATTTAGCCTATTTTGCCATTTGAACTATACTTACAGTGATATAAAATAATTTTGAAGTTCTTTCATAACCATACAAGTGGTGTCACAAGCATTTTTTTGTACAAATTGGCTTCACTAAGACTTCACTTAACTTTTTAAGGTGCTTTTAAATATGATTTAGACAAATACATTTTAAAGGGTTTTCTTTTTCATATAGTTTTTCTTGTCATGATATAACATCATGTCTTGACATGTAGGGATGAAATTCTATCCCATTAAATTCCAGTTTAGCTTGAAAGCATGATTGAGTACATTAAGGGTGACATAGGTTTTATATGTGACGTGTGATTAAGGCCAAATAGTATGTGATGCATGAATCTTACAGAAAGGTGCATGATTTATCCTCAAGATTACCCTGAAACTTAACACACATCTGGAGAAATTTTAAGTTTTTCCATTTGGGGCAGGGCTTGTTGGATTAAAAACAGTCTGTGACAGAGGTATATCATGCAAAATGTTGTCTTTTTATTGTTTGTAGGAACAAGCAGGCCATGAGGGAGCCAAGCCTCAGAGAGTGGCATTTTGCAGTGAATTGAATTACATTTTCTCTGTTGGATTTTCAAAGATGAGTGCAAGGCAGTATGCAGTTTGGAAAGCGGTTAGTGTGGGTTTCATTTTAAAGAACACCATTTAGATTCCTTTGGATGTGAATCAAAGTGATTTGAAGCCCTGCAAAATGAGTTCCACCAGAATTGTTAATCCTTTACACCCTAACATCAGTATGCAAGTTTTCCCTGCAGGCTTCCATGCATTTCCTATGGTATTTACAGGTTAGGAAAATTTGTCTAAATATCAAGAGTAACTCAAATTTGCTTGACTTGAAAATTTGTCACAAAACCCACTCAAAATGTTCTTGTCCCCCTCAGGATACTCTGGAAAATCTGGCCTTAGAGGAAATTGACCAGTCCAATTCCGTGCCATTTATACATTATGACCCTGACACATTGATGATTTATTTGGCTGGCAAGGTAAGATCATGCTTGAGGCATTTTTCTTTCTTTTCTTTTCTTTTCCTTTTTTTTTTTTTTTGGGGGGGGGGGGGGGGGAGGAGGGGGGTGGTCGTGGATCATGGAGGGCAGATGGAAAAAATTTTGTGAGTCCTCAGCAAGTCATATAGTAGCCAGGTAATTTCTGCTTGTTTTCACCTGAATAGGGAGTTAGAAATTTAACAGCAATTGATGAAACCACAGAAAACCTTCAAATAATAACAATTTTTATGTTATATTGAATCAGTCTGTTATGGTTTACACCAAACATATTGATGTACACAGAGGGCTCTAAGCCACCAGTGTCTTGGTTGCCATAGTGTTTGGTTACTGAAAAATAAAAACACTTGTATGAGGGTTGTATATGATAGCAAAAACAGGGCCATAGAAAGTGGTATGGTTTGGCAAGATGTGAACTGAAGAAGAAAGGAGGGACAGTCAAATGATGAAATGCTTATTGACTGACCTCTTGGGCCAGAGGGGTAAATATATTTGGTTCTTGGTCATTGTGCGCAGACCTCTCTATGCTTAGTCCATACATAATAGCCTTGGGCCATAATTTTTCCTGTCCTGCCCTCCCACTTAGCAGTAGTCAATAATCACACATTATTTGTCATATTTGCTTTGTTAACAGGGAGACAGCATCATCAGGTACTATGAACTGGCCAAGGAACATCCACACTGCCATTGGTTGACCAATTACAGCTCCAATGTACCTCAGCGAGGTGTCTGCTACATGCCAAAACGTGGTTGTGATGTCACTTCCAATGAAGTTGCGAAGTGCTTCAAGCTTGTTGCTAAAGGATATTGTGAACCAGTCAGTTTTACAGTTCCAAGGAAGGTATATAATAGTCCCTTGAGACATGTTATTTTGGATTCTAAATCTTTTTGTTTCAGGATTTGTTAAGTTTGAAAAATCTGGAAAGTGATGAAATTCTGTGGTACAATTTTCAAGGGCTAGAAAGTTGTGGAAAATGACTGAAAATAGTTTCAAATGAGAAAAGTAGGTGGTACCTTGATTAAGTGGTTGTTTTTATATTGTTTCAAGGTAAATTTCTCAATCATAAGTCTTCAGAAATATCAAAGAGAATCCTAGAGAAGGTCATGGCTAGGTGAGGAAAGAGTACATATACAGATTCATTAATGCATCAGCAAAGTCATTTTTGCTTTAAGGTAAACTGACATTTCAATAACCTCTTTCAGTCAGAACTTTTTCAAAAGGACCTGTTTCCAGACACACAAGGCGATGAGCCGTCTCTTTTAGCATCAGATTGGTTTGAAGGACAAGATGCGGAACCCAAAAAGGTTTCCTTGGATCCAGGAGATGGTGGAGGTGCAAAGGGTGCTAACAAACCCAAAAAGGGTTTGAGGGGGCTTGGTAAGATGGCCCCAAAGAAAAAAGAAGCAAAAGCTGATGATGATGAAGTAGTAAGTAGTTAAAGAGTTGCCATTTTACAACTGTGCCTTGTTGAAATTATTACATGCTGCTTGATGGTATAAATTGGGACAACCACAAAGCTAAAATAGTCAGTCAGTTGCATTTGTCTGTAGAATAAGTTCAGAAAGCTCCAAAGGGCTCCTGTGAGTTGAAGTTTTTTGCATATAGGCTTAAAGATCTACATGTTGTTTAGAAGAATACAAAGGCAGTGTGCAGAAGGGATAACAAGTAGTTGCTTTTCATGTGCTTTCCACATGGAAATTTCCCAAGCACATGAAATTTTCATGTAGAATGTGTGAAAACTAGTGAAGGGCTTCTAACTGAATGAACATCAGAGCATATCCTTATACAAAATTTAGTGATTACTGTCTCTCCATAAAGAGGGAGTTAACCTGTACTCATGACTCTACTCCATACACCTCTCCAGCTACTCTTTTGTCCTATAATAATTTTTTGAATATTACTTGATTTCCAGGAGTTGGTTGAGACAGTCAAGCAGCTTAAACTCAAGGTGGAGGAGCAAGAGAAGCGAATCAAAGCTCTGGAGGACAAAGTTGGAGTGTGAAAGTTGGTTTTAAACTTCAACTTTAAAAATAAAGTTTTCAAGTTCTTAAAGTCTAAAATTTTACCAGTGATGCAGTGAAGCAGCTTGGTTGTTCAGTTTGTAAACATGAGAACTGTATTTTTCCATGGCAAAGAATTTTTATTAAAAATTGTAATTGATATTGAAAATGGTGGTGATATTGACTTAAAGCCTTCCTATACCTTTTACTATAAAACTGGTAAGGTTTTAGTCCTTTGCAGCTGTTCATTGTAATGTCTCCTAAGAACTCAGCTCTTACTTTTAATTTTCATAGAGTCTGTTGGATCAGCTGTGAAAGTGTTCAAGAAAATGTGTGTTCCTTGTGGATACGTTATCCAAAGATATACCACCTATAGTATTTCTTAGGTTTCATTCCCATCTTTGATCATACAGATTTCTAGAAAAATGCTTGCATGACTTCACAGATGTTCAAGCAACTTTTTGAAGTTGCTCAAGACTCTTTGAATCTAGGATTGATGTACATAATTCAAACAGTCCCAAAGTGAACCAAATACGACTAAAAATAAGTCAACCTTTGTATCCAGGGCTACCAGGCAGGGGTTTATTATGGACAAGGACTTACCTAGTACTTGTACACAAATGGAATCTCACAAAAAAATTTAGTTTAATGTCGAAATACTACTAAGTCCAAATGAACAACATTACTGGAGCTTTGCCTCACTAGTCAGAGTTTGGGGAGCATGCTAAACTGTCCGAGCGATCGTAAACGTTGGTCTGAACTGTACATGGTGTTAAATTTATGTAACCTTCGTAGCAGAGGTTTTCTCTTGTTTGTTTGTTCTTCATCACCCTTGTGGCTTCACATTTTGCTCAGGCGCTCTCCAGCTATGCTATAGTTACTATGGCTTCCCAATTAAAACCACCTATTTATTACACAAGAAATCCCTAAAGAGGCTCCAGTTGACGCTTCAATAGCGTCAAGTTTGGTTAATATTGAAACACTTCCAAGTCCCAAATGGACAACAAAATTGCAATTGAAAATTCTTATATTGATAATTGCGCTATACAAGTCTATAACAAAACTGGAGTCTTGTCTTAGGAGTAGGGGAGGCTCATCAGTGAGAAAGGGGGACTGGGGGGGGGGGGAATGTATAATAGCATTTCACAGAGCGTCTAACAATCGGTTCTGTCAATGCTTCTGGTGAGATTCTTTCAATCAACACTGCACTAGACCAACTGTTTATTGTTCTCGATTTCAAAGTCACAATGTCTTGGACTAGGGGTAAATTAAACTAAAGTAATAATAAATGGCAAATATAAACTTAAAAAGAATGCCATCATCTTCCAATAAAAGCAGAACTTTCCTTTCCAAATAATGTACACAGAAGGGGTAAACATTAAGGTTAATGATGATGTGAGCAAAATTGTGAAGTGCTTTTATATCCACTGGCCAAATTACTCAGTACTTGCTCATCACCCTTGCAGTTCTCTTCCTTTACTGATATGAAGAGAGAGGACTTACTTCCATACTCACAGGAAGATGTAGCAGAAAGAAAAACAAATTGCTAATATCGAACTTTTAAATACAACAGTGACTATAGATTGGGACACAAATTAACACTATAAACACTAAAACCTTCTTTCCTTGCAGGAAAAAAAAAAAGAAAAAAGAAAAACAACAATTCCCCATGTGTTGAAAATAGATTCAACAGAAGTTTTCGTCTCAAGTTTCAGTCTCATAGCGGAAAAAAAATAGAGAAAAACGAAAAAAATGCCCGAGACTTTACGAAAATTACCTAACCCTTTGCACCATCAGCATGCCTATCATCCATACTGTTTTCTGTATATCTCCAAGGGCCCTGACAAGGAAAATTTGGTGAACAATCCAGTGCCTCTTAGATTGACCATCATCCCCATTATTCCCATGACCTTAATAAATGATTCAGCAGTATTTCTGTAAGAAATTTGATACTGATCACTCTTTGGATTCTCAGGGTTAAAGTAAGAACATGACCTGAAGCAAAATTCCAATAATGGGGAATCAAAAGATCACTTTGTGGAGCTATAATACAAAGCCTTTGTATGCATTAATGGTAGTTCAAATTAGGTTATAATCATGGCGACAATGAAAATTCCTATAACGACTTTCTTTACACTTTTATCAGGTATAACATGAAAGTATGACTGAAACTTTTGTGAAATACTTTTTCACCCTGAATACTAAAAGAGATGAAAATGTACAGTTGCTACATAATTTTACAAAACTACTTTCAAATAAGTGTCAAGTTTGAATGGAACAACAGAGCTTCTTTAATGTTTACGCTGCCTCATAGCGTATGTATGTTGCTGTTGTTGTTGTTGCTGATCTTGCTGTTGTTGTTGATGTTGTTGAACTTGCTGCTGTTGTTGCTGTTGAACTTGCTGCTGCTGCTGCTGCTGCTGAACTTGCTGCTGCTGTTGTTTCTGAAGCAGCTGTATTGCCGGTGAAGTCCGCTGCAGTGTGACTGTAGTCATCTGCTGGGGTTGCTGAGACTGCTGTGGTTGATGCCGAATCTGTGCAGTGCCCAGCTTGACCATTGGCTGGGAAGTCACCTGACTCTTCACCTGACCAGTACCTGGCACCTGCACAAGAAGCTGAGCCTGAGATGTCATTGGCGTCGTTACTGCAGCAGAGGCAGTAGCCATCTGGCCACCCTGTGCACCTTTAAGACCAGCCACTCCTCCAACAGCCTGTTGCTGTTGTTGCCTTATGGCAATCTTTTGGTGCTGTTGTTTAAGTTGATGAACTTGTTGAGGAGTTAACTGTGCAAGTTTCCGATTGGTCAGAATCTGCTGAAATTGCTGTGGTGTGATGGTCTTCTGCAAAAGGGCAGCCTGCTGCAGGTTTGTAATTGGCTGCTGCTGTTTCTGTTGTTGCTGTTGTACACCAGGTTGCTGCACTGTACCTGGTTTAGCAATTGAGCTGGCAGTTGATGCAACAGCCCCTTGTGTCACCTGTCCTCGGTTAACTTGTGGAATCTGAATTCGTCGCAGTTGCTGCTGCTGCTGCTGCTTCATGTGTTGATCTAGTTGTGCCTTTTTCAATTGTGCCTGTTGCAGTTGCATTTGTTTCCGCTGTTTAAGCAATGCCAATTGCTGAGGAGTGAACTGCTGAGAAGTAAGCGTCACACCTTGCTGATTTACAAACTGCTGTGGTGCTACCGGCAGGTTATGACCTGAAATCAGCCAATGTCAATCATGTCATTTTGAAATAAAACACTGTTCTTGCCAGTTTTACATGGTACAACAAAAATAAAGCATGGAATTGAGAAAATTTCCAAGGAATATTGAGAGAGAATGAAATATAAGGAGGACACAGAGAAGGAAGAAAATTAGAGTGAGCAGGAAGGGGGGGGAGAAAGAGGGGAAAAGAGGGAGGGGAATGGAAATCAGAGGGAAGAGGATGAGAGGAATAGAAATGGAGAAAGGATGAAGGAAGGGAGTATATCTTCAATTACAATCCATCAAATATTTCCCCTTTGTGTGTGATTGGTCTAAATGCATCACATGATTGAATGTGTCTGCTAAAACTAGGAAATCTCTAAGGACATACTGTAAGTGATATTCCCTAATTTTCAAACCCTTGCGTCTACTAAGTACAATAAAAGCACTTGTTTCAAACTTAATTCATGAGCATTTAGAGCGTTTAGCAATGGCTACAAAAGAGACATAAGTGTTTGATCACAATGTCATGCCAGAGAACACTGAAAAGTAAACATTCCATGGAGCAAACAGAAAGTTGTTAATAAACATTTTCCTGCCTGTTGCACAAATATTTGAAGGATAATAACCATGATAGCCTCCATTTGGTGTGAAAATGTGTTCATATACTTGTCCTTGAACATTATCTGTTCCTCAAGCTTCACTCTCGGAAAACTGTTTGCATCTCTGAACAGATAATGTCCGCTGACAAATATACAAACACATTATCAAGCCAAATGGGGGCCATTGTATATATAAAACTAAACATAATACAAAACAGTGTCGGTAAAATACATTTACATACTTGCAGTGACAACTGGTGAAGTAGTCTGCAGTCCGATCTAGGAAAAAAGACAAATAGAAAAGGAGAAAGTTGTTATCCTGCACAGTATAACCATTTCACATTTACATGTCAGACTTGCACACACAATGGGATTCTGTAAAGAGTGTGTCCTACCTGACTGACCACAGCTGCTGATGATGCAGGTGTCATGCTGTTGGTAGCACCTAGTGTTATTGACGTTGCTGTGCTCGATGCCAGGGAACCGCTAACTTGACGTGGCTGAGTCTGCACTAATCTTGCTGTGGCTACACCAGCTGAAGACACCTTCTAGCAAACAAAAAATAATTCCATAAAAAATTAAATGATACACTGAATTGTATATGCATTTTGATTGGTTCTTTGCTCATGATCTATGGAAGAATAGACGCATGGACGATGTCATCAGTAACAACGTTGCTTTTTTAACATACAAAATGACTAGATTCCATGTCTGTACAGTAATAGATCACAGAATAAGTAAAAATGTTGGAAGAACATCAGTGACACACTCGGCTGCCCTTCATATGCCACATTTATGTTCTTATCACATTCTGGAGTCAGACCTGGAATCTAGTTGTTAAGTAAATCATCTTTTAATAAGACCAAAAGATTTGAGAGTCACATAACAACTACATCTCCCTTCAAGCCTTCAATAGCAAACTACCCTCTTAAGATATTCTGAAATTTTTTTTTTTTCCTTTGGTTTTGTTTCTTGCATCTCCACAGTAACTTGCTATTCTTCAGTAAGATTCACTCCATACGCTGGTTTACAGCTGTTGATGAGCTTCTGGGTGTGGGCTTTGACTGAGTTACCATGGTGACTTCCTTGCTTTCACAGAAAAGTTGCACCCTCATTCGTAACCGTCAAAGAACCTACCCCCAATCAATACAAAAATTGCAAAACAGCCCTGTTCAAACTCACCGTTTGTACTTGAAGAGGGGTTGGTATTTTTCCTTGCATCCTTTTGTTGATGGTAGCAAATGAGGAGTTCAGACCTGCTGCATTACCCTTGTGTGTGTTGACCACGATGCTTGATGCAGTCCCGGTTGGAACAGTCTGACCGGTAAGTACAATACCAGAAGCTACCAAATGAACAACATTCAGAGAGAAGTAGTCCTTTTAGGTGGACAGATCATTTAGTTCAATGACTTCTTCTTTAGTTAACCAAGTGATTAACATGTAACCTCTCACAATAATATCCATTCATTATCCAAACAGGTAATGAGAGTACTCAAACTTAACAGGTACTGTAGAAGTTTTTATCTTGATCTAACACCAAATTCTGATAACTACTTTTCAAGGAAATATGCAGCAGCTTGAGAGAAGTATTAACAATCATATCTTTGGAGTTAAAGCCAAGACCTTAACAAGCTCTTCGGGTCAGCTTAATAGCCCGCAATCTTTTGAAAACAACTTACAGAGTTTGAAAAATTCCAGACTGTACTGACCTGATGTCTTGAGTAAAGTTGATGCAAGTGTGGTTCCTGTAGCTCCCTGAAGAGCTGCACTTTTCTGAAGTGCTGCTGCTGTCTGAAATAAAAGTATTTATCAAATGTAAGTGTAATTTATAATATAATATTCTTTACAATATCTCTAACACACCTAAAGATATATGTCTCCACTAAATCATTCAATTCCTTGAGCCTCTGTTGAAGAGTGGATGGCACCATCCACTAAATAAATTGCCTCCTACAAAACATTAAGAAGCTACATGCACTTGATTTATCCAAAATCTAGCAATTTGATGGTCAACAAAGACATGTAAAAGGAATGTCAAGTGACTTACTGCTACAGATGTGGAGTTGAGCTGGGTGGTGGTGGTCAATTTCTGTGCAGGTAGTGACTGCACACTGGTTGGCAACTGTTTGGCCACAGTCTGCTGTGGAAGCTGGGAGGCCTGTGGCTGTTGTAATTGTGCAGGTGTTGTGACTGATTGATTTTGTTGTTGTGGTTGTTGTTGTTGTTGTTGTTGTTGCTGCTGCTGCTGCTGTTGCTGTTGCTGTTGTTGCAGCTGGTGCTGCGGTTGTTGCTGCTGCTGCTGTTGTTGTTGCTGTTGTTGTTGCTGAAGATATTGAAGCAAAAGTGAAAAAGACATCTGTGATCAAAAACTGACCTTATCAAATCAAGATGATTTCTAATGATACATGTATTCTCTTCTGTGGGGGAAATGTTTCTTTTGCTGAACAATTACCACCCCCTTTCTCCAGCCCTATAAATGGCTCTTCAATGGACAAGGGACTTATACCTGATCAACAAACTAGACAATACAAAGGTTAAAAATAAACTACAATCACTGCCTTTTCCCTTCAAAGTAAAAGACAATTTTGCATCATGATGTTCGATCTCTTTTTAAAAGTTCTTTTGTTTCTTTGTTTTAAACCTGAAATTTTACAGCAAGATTGCCAAGATTATACAAGATTTACCAGGAACATGGGAAAAACTCACTACATAGATTGTTATGTATTCTCAGATGGAATATTTCAAGATAGTACAAAATTGGGCTTATCAACCAAAGGATATATTGCCCTACTAGACAAATTAAAACAAACAAGATGAAATGAAACAACCACAGCTATACAACACTGAACAAAAAGGCACCACAAGTTACTTACAGCAGCAGCTTTTTCTCTATTGAGTCGGTCTGTTTTTATGGCAGCCAGCTGAACTGGGTTCAAAGTCTTCTCCTCTGAAATACCACTTGGGTAGCAGAGAATAACAGTAATCAACAATAAAAGATCTTGTACTTAAACAAATCAAGAAACTGACTTGGATTTTTAATGATTGGATTTCTGAGAAATCTAACAGAAAAATGCATAGAGTCGAATCGGGATAAGGTTGTTGATCAAATGGAGCTGTTCAACTGCTGTCCAGTGCTTTAACAAATGAATCACAAATTCTTTAACCCTTCAGCCCGTAAGGGACTAGCATCTAATTCCTCCTCACAATATCTCCCCTGAATCACACAGGGAGCAAGAGTAAAGGAAAAAAAATCATAATCTGGAGAAGCTCTGATTGTTAACAAATTCTCCTTGTCGGCACCTAGGAAAATGTTTGGAGAACAGTATGGGGAATATGCATATTGATGTTAGGATGTGAAGGATTTAAAGATTAAAACTGTCAGAGTCACTCATGAAGAGGTAGAGTTTCTTTTTACCTAGCACTTAATACAGCAGAATGTTTGAAATTCTTTAGTTGAGGATCCACCAACCTAAGAGTAAAAAATGTGACAATTTTACAAAGAGCGACAGTCGATGGAAAGACAAAATAAATCATGCCATAAAGACTGCCCTAAATCTTGACTTGAAAAATTATAAAAGAAATCAGAAATTATAACCTGACCATCTGGCAAGAATACAGCATTTTAAAGCAAAGAGCTGAAGGTTCCCTGTGGCTTTGTCTCTAAACTATTTGCTACCCAAACTCAACACTGTTCCCTTCACCTCCAGTATTCGTTCTGTCTCTATCTATTTTTCCACAACAGGATTGTAAATCATTTGCACTTTTCACATTTTTCTGTCTTTAAAGATGTTCTGTTCTGTGCATGTAATTTAAATAGCACATGTAGATCCTTTTCAATAAGCAATTTGGTGTCATAAAATGTTGTTGTGAATTGAATGAAGATCTGTATTCACTGATTGAAGGAAACTGTTCATTAAGAAAGTCCTTTCCTTTCATAGATCACAGCTTGAAACAGGCAAAAGTTATTGATTGAAAGGATGCTTCAAAATTCACAATTCAGACTTGGATTCATCCTCAATTAACATGGGTGATTTTTTGAACCTTGTTCAAAAATGCAATGAGGTGCAAAGAAAAATCAAGTAACCAGGTTAAGAAAATAAAATTCTCACAATTGCTTGAGAGGTGGTTTTCTCTTTTGGGAAGTGCGTTTCACAAGTTCAAATACAGATGATCGTACAACAGTTGGTGAGCGGCCACCATCTTGAGCCAGCAGATGATGTGTTTTGAATGATCTTCCATTTGTGCCTTTAATCTGACAAATGAAATGAGAATTGATATAATCATCAACAAAATATACTACTCTTTGGTTGACTAAAGCAGGTCATTATTACATAGTACGTGTGTTTGTAATCAGGTGTAATTTAGTCTGAAATTTTGTGCACACAGTGCAAGTTTGATTTGACATCTTACAGATGATTTCATCAAAAAATTGCACAACAACTTCTACACTTTATCAAATAATTCATGCAAATTTTGAAATTGAACAGTTTCATTGCCTAGGTAGAGGTTTTTGATAAGTACCATTGTTTTATTGATCTAATATTAGAAAAGAGAAAAAAATGAAAAAAGAAAACAGAAAAGAAAAGATAAAAGAGTACCAATTTGAGAATCACTATCTTTGTGTAAATCTTGTTTTTTTGGCATGTTCCATTCTTATTAGCTTGATAAAAAGACACAATTTAGAGCCATTTATGCATAAACTTCACTGCAATCATATTGTAAGGATTACCATTGATTTCACACTGTATGTGATAATTCCACGCAAATGACTGAGTTTTTTTTACCTTGACTGGTAGACTGTGAGGTTGGGTAAGGTATGGCTGGGAAAATGACTTTAACCTTGTCTTCAGTTTCTTCAAGCTCTCCTCTACTACAGGCTAACAGTCCAGTAACAAACAATGATTAAAAAAAAACCACAACATTAGACATTGGATTAACTGAGCAAGAAAAGAAGTGATTTGAAATTTTTCAGACTTCTTTTCTGCAATTGTTAACCCTTTAACTCCCATGAGTGACCAAGACATAATTTCTCCTTACAATATCAACACAGTATCAAACAGACAAGTGATGAGAATAAAGAAACATATCAGTTAGGGGATTATAAGTTGATCCAATACCAAATTCTGCAAACTAACATCACAAGAACTGTATGGCAGACAGTAAGGAGAATTACTTATGAGATCTTAGGAGTTAAAGGGTTAAAATTGCAGTCCACCTGTGAGGATCATATTTTTGCTTGTTTTTCATCTGCAGGTCAAATTAAAATTATTTCATTACAAGTTATGATCAAATTCCTTTATAAGAAAGAAGAACCCCATAGAATTTCCTTTGCGCCCTTTGTGTGGCTTTGTTGCTCAGTTGGCAATAGTACCTAACTACTATCTGTGAGGTACCAGTTCAAATCGCGTCAAAGCCTGAATTTTCAAGCTTTTTTCCAGCAATTACTTAAATTTCAGTCTGCCTGTGAGGATCGTTTCTTTGCTTGACTTCCATCTGCAAGTCAAATGAATCTTACCATATTTTGTTACAAGTTGTTACACTGAATTAAGTCAACCAGAATTAACCTAATTCACCTCTGTTTTTACCAGGGTCCTTAGTTCTAGCTAAATCCAACTTTGATTTGCCAAAGTAAAGTAAGGAAAATAAAAGGGGTAAAAGAAACGAGAGGCTGCTTCTTACCAAGGGTACTTTTCCCTCCTCTCTGGGAATAATCATGTTTATGTAGCGATCACGACACTGTGAAAAAAATGAATTTAAAAAATCAGCAAAATGGCTACTGCTGTACAAGTGAAACTACACAAAAAGCAAAAATAGAAAGGGAACATCTAAACATTCTTAAGACTTACAAATACTTGTAATCAGGATGATGATTATTCATAAAAGGGGGTAAGTTTCTAGAAAAACTGTGGTACTGCATCAGTGGGTGAGTATAACAGGGTATTTTAGTATTATCAACTGAGCTGATAATGTAAATTGACCACTGTAAAGAGTTTAAAAGCTGACATTTTGGACATTAGCCCTTGGTCAGTGGTAACACTTGAAACATCAGCTTTTAAACTCTTTACGGTGGCCAATTTACATTATCAACTCAGTGGATAATATTAAATTACCCTGATGATTATTCATTTTAGCATGATCAGATTATTTTGCTGCTAGATTATGGAGTTAAATTCAATTCTCACATCCCAACAAAGTTACAAGTTCTTACCTGTCGAGCTGAGCGGAATGTTCGACTTGTGAGATTGACAATGTCACAGACAATGTCCCAGTTAGGTGTTTGACTTGGAACATTTACAGCAAGATCCAATGGTAATTCTTGCAAGGAATTTACAGCCTTTGAATAGAATTGAAGATAAAAAATTGGCCTTCTGAGTGTGGTTTTCAAGGCAACTTCAGTCTAAAGCTGCTAAAACATGCTTAACATGTCAATAATGGATAGATAAATATTTCAAGGAAGTTGCCACAAATACCTGTAATAAAGCCCAGTCTTCATGGATCAACCATTCTGGAACTCCAGCCCCCTTTAAAGAGATATTTTACGATTGTAAAATTCACAGTACTTAGCTATTTGATAGATCACTCTGCAACTTCTTTTGGGTTGCGCTAATTTTGAGAGAACAAGGTATGGCTGTTAGAGCACTGTGTTCATGCCCTTTTAAAAACCAGTGTGTTGTGTTCTTGAACCAAGCACTCTTATATTCACACTGTCCTTCTTCACCCCAAGAGTACGATGGGTACAGGCAAATTATCATTGAAGACTAACAAAATCTTGAGGGACAACCTGCCGTGGGAAAGCATCCCAGCCAGGGAAGTAAACATACACAGGCAATTCTATTCTTCTGATCATCTATCATGTACCTGAGAGTAGTCTGTCTGTTTCACTATACTGGGTGCAACCTGCTGCTTCATTTGTTTCATTTTGGACTTCTTACTTAATGAACTGCGACGAGCTCTCGCAAATGGATCATATCCATTCCTGTCAAATACTGATGTAGGTCGGCTGACACGATCTCTGCAGCATAAGGAAACAAAAAATGAATTAGGAAAAACATTATCATATGATTTGAGACTTAGGTATTCTCGCCTTTTTCTCTTTTGCAATTGACAGGAGAGGAGGGGGGGGGGAAATACAGTCACAATTAACAAACATTTTGTCAAGCAGGAAAAGCATAAACAAACAAAGTGACCAAAAAATGCCAGCAAAATCTTGTATCTGTAGTAAACAACATAATACTGGAAAAATAGAGAAAGCTGACAAAGATGAATGATTCAAACTAAAATACCTCTCAATAATGACACTTCTATACACAATGACTTACTTGGCAGCTCCCTGAAGTTGATCTCTGAAGTAAACAGTAGACTTATGTACAGTTCTCTTTCCTGTTTGATGTGGCCTACAGAGCAAATGACACAGTTAGTACTGAGTTGGTCTGAGCTAAGACAAATTTTACAGCACACCACAGGGAAAATCTGAAGGAAGTACAATTTCCACTAAACAGACTGCTAGCATCAAGCAGAAGTTTCATTAAGATTTGGAGCTGAAGCCCACCTGGATTTAACTTGTGCTGAATTCTTCAGATAAAATTTTGAATGCAGCTGAGAAAAGTTGCTTTTACAGCTAATCAACTTGCCTGGTGCCTGGCCCTTAATAAAATCCTTGCTGAAATCTGTACTTCAGTCTCATAGATACTTACTTTGTCAGATAAAGAGGCGGGAGACGGCTTGGAACCATAGGTGATGTCTCATACAAGAATGCCAAAGTTGGGTCCACATATATTTCATCTTGTCCATCCCGGGGTGGGGTGGGTGGAGTCCAGATCTGCAAAAGATAATTCACATTGGACTTGCTTACCCCAATTGGTAAAGTATAGGAAAATATTTTTGAATGTTACTTTGTTTGAAGAACTCTTTCTACATTCTTAGCTTTGTGTTTATGATGTAAAAGAAAATCCACACAGCAGAAAGCATGGAACCCTTTGAATCCCAAGAGTGACTAAAATCTAATTTCTCCTTACAATATAATCCCTGAATCACATAGTTAGGCCATGAGAATAAAGGAAACAACCTCTATTATAGAAAATGATTGTCAAACAAATTCTCCCTAACAGCACCTAAGCGAATGAGTGAAGAACAGTATGGAGAATATGCATACTGATGTTTGAGTATAAAGGGTTAATGGTGAAACCAAGGAATGCACATTAAATAAGAAAATTGCATATGCCAATTCAAAGGTTTCAATCACTGTGCATGCCATAAGCTGTAATCAGTTGTGTTGTTTCCAACTTTTGAGGAGATTTACAGTAGTAAATTGTAAGAGTGTTGAGGTGACAGAACTTGGTTGTGCTGGTGATCTTTGAACCACTGCTCTAACCAAAGTTGTCTTTATCTGCTAAATGTGTGGTGCATACAAATTCTAAATTATTAAATACTTACTGGCATCTCTTCACCAGTAGCATCATTCACATACACCTGATGGAAAACAATAATGAGAGCTCACTGATTAATTAACCCTTTAAACCATAAGAGTGACTGGCATCTAATTTATCCCTACAATATCACCCCTGAATCACATGAGAATAAAGGAAATGATCACCAATGAAAGGTTTTGATTGGTAAACAAATTCTCTGTATCAGCACCTAAGGAAATGTATAAAGAAGAGTATAGAGAAAGTGCATGCTGATTTTAGGATGTAAAGGGTTAATTTCCACCAACGGACAATAAACTGATCTAATATCATCACCAGGCTGCAATTGTTTGAAGAGTGGAGAATGCTACTGATCTAATATTTGTAAAGTGCTCCTCACTGATCCCATTACTTCCATAAGTGATCAAGACAGAGACTTTCTTCTTATAATATCAATACAATATCAAGCACACAAGTGATGAGAAAAGAGCAAAATATAAATTTGGGAACTATTGGTTGATCCAATACCAAATTCTCTCAACTAACTTCATAAGAACTGTATTGCAGACAGTAAGGAGAGTTCCTTACAGGATCTTAAGAATAGAAGGATTAAGAAATATGAAAAACCCTATTTTTCAGTGGCAACTACAATTTTCAAGGAAGTCAAATTTCATTCCAAGCTCTACTATGCAATGTGAAAGCCAGAGTATGCGTCTAGTGCCAGAGAATTGGTAAGTATATTCAATTGGATAAGAAGTCAAAGTCAAGGAGAGGAAAGGGGTGCCTTGTTTCAAATTTTTTTTCAATAACAGCTATCATTCATGTGTTTATTTATGGGATGGATCTACTGTATTTCCCAAACTACTGCGTACTACTAAAAGACCGGTCCATTAAGGGTGCTGCCCCAAATAGGAGATATTAAAGAAACAAAGGAGAAGGGCATTATACATCATACTGAAGCCGCAAATTTAACTCCAACCATTGTAAAATATATGTGGAAGAAAGGAAATGCTTTCATGATAAAGAAACCAATGAAATACCATGGGAGGTTTTGCACAAGAACATGATACCTTCACAAATTAAGATAACATGTCATCTCCACACTTGAAAAGATCTCCCTTTTTTATGGGGAAACCAAATTTCTTTCCTCCAAAATCTTGAGCAAAATTTCATATCTCCCCCACCCCCCTGCCATGTATTATCTACCAATGTTAAAGAAGGGAGGGGAGGGGAGTTAAGGATAAGCCAGTAGCTCTGTATAGCTGTTCAGCAAATTTGGTTCCAAAGTGCCTTGAAATGCCTGTCACTTTTCTACCTTCTCTTGATTGGTTGGATGGCGTAAGGCTAGCACATAGTAACAGTGAACCAAAGAATGCTATTCTTGCAAGACCACAGAGATGCATTGTTATGCTCAAGCTAGTGTCAACGAGTTAAGAGAGCTAATGAAAGAGTTCACTGGACTCAGTGTTGTAAAGTAACTCTAAACACAAGAGTTGTTAGTCTGGTTGGTTATGTGTTATAATTGTTGCTGTTATTGCAAAGAAAAGGATCAAACACCATTAATAGAGAAAATATTTCCATCAAAATTAATTCATCAAAACCAATTTAAGCAAGGATGATGCAAAAGATGCTACAGCAGTTTATTCACAGAAAAGCATTTAGAGTTTTGTGCCATGAAAGAGGGTTGGGGAAAGGTACTTCCAGTAGTGCTACTAACAAACACTAACACAACTGCATTAAACTTAACACTAGCAAACAAGCTAGCCAAAGCACCATCAAAGAAGTAATGATAAGAAGGATTTGATGAAAATGTGGACAAGATAACTTTCATCTTGGAAAGTCCAAGACAACTTTGGACACCAAAAATATAACATTGGTAATGCTAACACTGTACAGCCATCCAAAACCACTGGCAAACATTGAACTAACGAGCTTACTAGGGCTGGTTAATCCAACAGTTTCAAAATATTACACAAATGCCAGCAATCAATCAAGAGAAGATACAAAACATGACAGACAACCTTTTACATTCAAACATCTTTTTTTATTTGAAAGGTTTGACAGCACTTTTCCTCAACAAAAGCACCAAATTCATACATTTCCATGGTTGGTTCCCTGCATTTAAATTCAATAATTTTGGCAAATGCTTTCCATAAATAACTGCCTACAATGAATGTCTAGTAACTTATTATTTTTGTAAATCTCTTTTACAGGGAATTCCTTGATAAGAAAGAAGGAAATTTTTGAACCACCCTTCCATAATTTTTACTGGAAAACTGACCACTGAATAAGTATGCCTTACCTTTTAGAAACATGTTTTACACTTGGGAACAAATGGTCTGTGATTTCTTTGAGAACTAATTTGTTTGATTTTCATCAGCAGGGAGTCTGCAAATTTCTAAGGTTATTCTCACAGGACATTCTCCCACATAACAAGCTAATTTCCTACCAAAGTCAATTTCTCCTTGCACTTTTTCTAGAGCTACTGCAACTACTACTTCTACTGCTTGCTCTGGATGAAGTTCGACTGGTACTGCGACTGTTCCTGACAGCCGCTTGAGCCTCATTACTTTGTGTTTCTGATTTCAAGTTCTTTTTGGCTCGTTTAGACATTAGGGAATTTTTTCCAGAACACTTGCTATTTGCTTTTGATCTACGCAATTTTGATTTATTCTTTTTAACCTGCAAGGATTCCTCTCGTGTGTATGTGTACAAGATTTCATCCTCCTCTTCAGCAGCTCTTTTTTCTTCCTCCTTCTTCAACGCTTGCAGATGGCCAAGCTCCCAGTCCTTCTTTGCCATTTCCACTTCATCCTGTCAATTGCAAGTTTGGACATAAAGAATACACAATAATCTTTTATTTCTGAACAACACTCCAAGTTGCAACCATTTTGTCCCTGTGGCAACTAGAACAATTTTGGGAACTAAATTTGTAGTTTCAGGAGTTTCATTTAAAGCTTGTTACTGTTGGTCTGCTGTCATGTATAAGACCTTTAACTGCCATCTGTTTAGCTTGTGAGCAGGCTCTCATTTTTGGGTGTCACCTGCTCACTTCTGGACACAGCCGCCTATAACACCATCTACATCCACATCCACTAATGAAAAAAGCTACTGAAACCCTGGGGTGGAGGTCCCCAATTTTGTACCTGTGTTTGGTTGTCACATCATTGCATCTTAGTGTTTATCATTTGAAGTTTAAGTGAGACAGCTTACCTTAGCTGCTTTGATTTGTTCCAGCGTAATGTAAGCACCAGATGATTCCAAGAACCGAATTGCATATCTTTCCACAGCAGTCATCTTTAGAAAGAATTCAAGAGAATATTAAAATAAACAATAATTCCTACAGTGAGGACTGAAAAATCGTACTGGAAAATGTAAGGTAAAGTTTGCTTGCTTTGCATTTGTTTTTTTGTTAATTTGTTACTTCTTTTGTGAGATTGGGAGAGCACATTGAAATCTGTTCCTCACCTGGCTCTCCAGAGCAGATAGTTCTTCCTCTACTTTGGACTGCTCTTCTTCCTAAAGCAATAAAATACTTTCCTTAGTTTTCTCTTCTTTTACCTGGAATTAAATTAGAAAGTTAGTTGTCCAGATGCTGGGGACTCGTGCTGCAGACTGCTCTTGAGAGTGTAAACCTTACTGGGAACAATGTGCTCCTGCTTGCTCTGACAAAGAGATCACACTTCGACTTTCACCTTTGCAAAAATTATAAGAGCTAGTAATTTGCCCTTATAGAATTCACAACTGATACCCAAGTGTTATGCTTGCCTGCCAAAATGGTAGAACAATATTTCAAGAAGCCAGTTTATAATATCATTTCATTGTAGATATCAAATGTCTTAAGCCAACTGAATCACTAGTCACAAAGCCATGCACCGTTACTGTACTTTAGATGTGGTAATTTAAAGAGAATGAATCTTACAAACAAACCTTTCCATCTTCACTCAGGGGGATTCCTTCATCAAATTCTGCTAATTCTGCAGCCTCTTCAGCCTTCGCTCTTGTAGCAGCACAAGCATCCTGTTCATCTTCTGCTTTAAACAATGCCTACAAGATGGTGTAACAAAGCAATGTAACCTAAACTGACTTCATACATGTAAACAAAGCACATGTATTCTATGTACCTGCTCCAGCAAGTTCTGTGACACTTTTCCAGCTCCAGTCTTGGTGCTACCAACTTCTGCAGTTGTCTCAGACTCTTCTTGAGATTCTTGTGTCACAACTTCGTCAATGGGCTCTGTCTTAGTAATACTAGGCTGAGTGTTAGTAGCTTCAGTAGATGGTTCAATGGTGAAGAGATCCTTTAGTGTAGTCTGCACAATGAAGAATATAAAATTAAACATGAAACACAATTCATACAACTCTTCTATCAGTTGAGAGGTTTATACTTTTTCATCCTTATAAAATTCCATGACTTTCCACAAACTTCTTTGTGACTGTTGTTATGACCCAGGTATAACTAGTTTTGTTGTTTGGGCAGAAAGTCATTCTCTGCCATTTCTGATGACTTTTCAATACAAAAACTCAAGTTCAATGACTTTCCAAGCCTGGAAAATGACACAAAAAATTCCATAAACTTCCGAGTTTCCTGTAACCCAGTTAAACCCTACGGGTAGCTCTGGGAACTTGGCATCATATCAAGGCTATATGTCATGTTTGTGTTAGGAATGTTCACTGACAGTTTCAATCAAGCATACTTTCAGGGAAGCTCCATTACCACATCCTGTGTTAGGCCCAGGTATTTGTAAATTTGACTCTGATAAAAAAGTGACCAAGAGAGTATTTCTCTGTATTATATCAATACAATCAAGTCAAGCAGAAAAGTGTTGAGAATAAAGAAAAATATCAATAGGGGGATTATTAATGGATCCGATACCAAATTCTCCAAACTAACATCTCAAGAATTGTATAGCAGACAGTAGAGAGAATTACTAGTGACACCTTGGGATTGGAAGGGTTAAATAACCCTGTGGACAGTTTGAAAAAAGTTACAAAACAATAACACACTCAGGAACAGTATCTCGACCTACTTCTTTAAAAAAGGCAGTGGTAAAGTTTCCACCCTCAATAGCAATATCACCCAGCATTCTTTTCTGATTGGCCTTCTTCAGGATGTTTTCCTCTATTGTCCTCTCACTAATCAGTCTGTAGATGTGGACATCTCTGGTTTGACCAATGCGATGACATCTGTCTTGTGCTTGGGCATCCATTGTAGGATTCCAGTCACTGTCATAAAAGATGACCGTGTCTGCACCAGTAAGATTGACACCTAGTCCGCCACTGCGTGTGGAGAGGATGAAGCAGAAGATGCGAGTATCAGCATTGAAGCGCTCCATCAAGACCTGTCTTTGCTCCACCCTTGTTGTGCCATCAAGCCTCAGGTAGATGTAACCATGGTAATTTAAAAAGCTCTCTAGAACATCTAGCATCTTGGTCATTTGGGTAAATATCAGTGCCCTGTGAACATCAAGTTGAAATGCAACTATAAGCATCATATTAAATGTCTAAAACAAAAGCCAAATATCAACTTTTATTTGCTTCATAAATCACAAAGAACAAGTTCTGGACTGTGATAAAGTTACATTGCATTACAGAACCTGTCACATCACCACTGACAGATTGGTTTTTACAAAGTAATAGACTATACTACACATGTTGGCAAGATAAATTTATATTCTTTTTACCTGTGCTTTCCAACTTTTAGTCTTCTCAGCAGCAGATCAAGAGTTTGAAGTTTACCTGCGGCAAACAAATTGCACTCATGGATCTTATGCACTGGTTCAAATCAATACAAACAATTCAAGGTGCTAAGACACAAGAACTACAATTTAAGAATCCCTTGCTTTGATGCTCTTGTTTAGATGTATATGTCCTTACCACAATCATACTGAATAAGACGCACTTCTGGAAACTGCATCTTCAAGCCGCGAGCAATTGGATGCATGAATGACGTCTTGGGCATCAGTTCACCATGAAGAGTTTCCTCAAGGTTTTGCATCTTTGACAAGTAGCAGGGTGGAGGATGGGATGTATGTAGTTTGATGGGAGGAGCTTCCACAGATGGTATAGCAAACACAAACCTGACAAGAAAAAAATCAGTGGTTGAATAACCTCTGGCAGCATTTTACCACAGAAGTCTAACTATTTCTGCAGTTCATAATAAAGTTGACAGCTCAGAACTTCTATATTATCAGGGTCAATCAAAAACACGGACCTTGAAGTATAGTTCTCATCATAATTATGCTGTTCCTTGATCTGACATATTTTTCTTGAATAAATTAAAGAATGGTTTTGAAATCATGAGTTCTTTTACTTCTGTTTTTTTGGTTTTTAATTTCTTAATTTTGCTGAAACTGTCTGAGAGTTCCTCAGATTCCTCAACTGCGAGTACTAGATAATAAACTGCTTGAAAACACAGTCAAAAATTGATCAGGAAAGTATCCTTTTACCTAGTAATCTAGGTTATTTTTCAAGACAGCTTCGAAATAATTCTGGTGTTATAATATTGATGAGCCAAAAAAATGAAAACACACATGGAATTTTACCTGCTAAAAACATCCTTCATTTCTGTCACTCGATCTACTGGAGTTTTCAACATGTTTGTTAAATATTCAGAATGTTTAACTATACTCCACACATCCTTAACTATAGACACGGCCTGCACCAAATCTGGTCCATAGACTGGTTGTGCTTGAGAATGACGACTGTTGACCCGTACAATACGCACAAGCTTCTGCTTTCTTTCCTTGAGCCTTTTTTCAGCAAGATTCTCCTAGGAAGGCAAATTTAACAAAGTCAATTCCAGTTCTAACTTTTTCTTTTCTTTAGTAACTAAAACTATTCTTTCAATCTTTGTCAGCTCAGTACTTCAAGTTCTATCACAGATTTACTCTCAACAACACGGACCTGAAGTTTCACTCATCACACGCTGACAAGAAACCACTAGTCACTCCCCTTTGTTCAACCTCACCACTGCTGCATGGAAGTGACTAGCATCTAATTTCTCTTTACAACATTACACCTGAATCACACATTAGGGTCAAAAGAATAAAGGAAAGACTGCCAACAACTTCCATAACAGTACCATAAGAAATGTATGATGGACAAAATTTGTCTGAAAGATTTGCAGGTAAAATCAGATATCAGAATCAGTGCCTTTCATTCCATTTAGGGTTGTGAATAGTGCTTCCACACTGGAAGAGCCCCTTCATAGCAAAGACTAGCTTTGACACTAAAACATACCAAGAAAAATGGTGAATCTTTGTTAGCCTGGGTGACAGCAGGAAGTGTTGTTTTACTTTCTAGGGCAATTCTCTTTGTTGGAGACACTGGTTTGGGTTCAGGATGAGGAAGGGGAAGTCTACTAGCTACACCATCTTGAACAGTTTGCCCTACTGGTGCTCGATTCTGAGCTGCTGGAAAGCTTGCAATACCAGGGACAGATGGATGTGACTCTACAGCAACACCAGTAGCAGAAGGAACTGAAGCTGACCAGGGTGACTGCCCTACTGCCATATGCTGACGCTGAGATTCATAGCCTGCTCCAGGTCCTGGATAGGGTGGAGGAGGGGGCATTTCCCTTCCATATCCAGACAAAAGTATCCTAGATGCAGGAAAGCCTGTCGGGACACCAGCACTATGCCGTGTTGGGTGGCTGTGAGGCTGTTGTCCTTCAGGAGTTCCAGGCGGCATTCTTCCAGGTAATAATCCACCAAAACCTGGGCGTTGTGGATGGTCTTGAGACCGCCCTGGAGGAATGCCATATGGAATAGCACCGGGAGTGTACGTTGGATGCACTCTGTGTTGTTGATGAGCAGAGTAAGGAGGAGGGGGAACATGTGGCATGTGCTGTCCACTTGGATGAATACTGTTAGATATCTCTGTCTTGACACCACCTAATGGAAGCACAGGATGGCCAGAAAATGAAATCCTGCGAGGTTTTGCCAGAGGGACCAGCCGCCTGACTGGTTCAGGGTGGGAGTCTATTTCTATAATCATTTTTGCAGGTGTCTGAAGAGTTTGTGAACGAAAAGCTGCATAGCTTGTCACTGTTCTTTCAATGTCTGCTACACACAAGTTCAAGTAACCAAAGCTGACATGCTTGAGGGGGTTATAATCCAGAGCTCTAAGCACCAATGATGCAGTGTAGAACTCAATGCCTTCCATGTAGAATGGTGAAACTGTTGGTCTTGGTTCAAACAAGTCAGGATGATTACAAACCTGAAAGAGTATGTGGCACAAAGTATCAGTAAGTAACAAGGGAACTTCATGTGAGAGCAAAAACAAAGTACAGCTTTGTGTACATGCTCTTGATGCCACAATCGGCTTGTCTTTGTGAAAGTAATCCTGAAGAGGAGTTTTTGTGGGTGATGTTTGAAGACATCAACAGAGTCAAGTGCCTCTGTGATCAAATAACTCTAACAATGACTTCCAAACAAGTTGTCAATACAAGGCTGTATGTCTGTCAGAAACACTGACCACAGTCCTTTTAAGACTACATACTATACCCTGCATGATCAACTGATACCCCCCCTCCCACTAATAAGTGGTTTAATAAAATAGATATTTATTTAATTTATTTTGTTGGACATTTTATACTAAAATGTTTGTTACCTTTCTCAGCTGCATGAGAATATTAATAACACTGAGAAAGTGACCAGACTCTAAGGTTTCCTTTGTCCTGAAACAAAGTGAACAAAACATAATTTACAATGATTCCCTAATCACAAGACAAAGTGCTGCACGTCACTACTCAATATACATCTGTAACAATGTTGTTCCCAACAGGAACAGTTGAGTTGTACAGTGTACATGTCAGAGGGTTTTATAGCAGCTTCTTCTCTTGGCCATAAGTGACAAAATCTAATAGTTAGCAGTGAACCTTGGCTCAAAAGCAGTTGTCCATGTACAGATCTTAAATCCACAACCAAAGTATTCATTCCACTCATAGAAAATACAAGCAACAGTCCAACTCTTGCCACAATTAACACTTGTAAGTAAACTGGAAGGAAAATCAGTAGCAGAAAGTTAGGCCATGGCTCCACAGCACTTCAACCCATGTATTTCAGATGTCAGACACAGACATTTAAAAATTTAACTCCCAAGATCTGATTGTTAGTCACCCCCTCTGACTGCTTCAACTTTTCTTTGTAAATCAGTTACAAGAATTTGGTGTTAGATAGTGTCCACAACTTCTACCTGATAAATGAGAGTATTCCCATTACCTATTTGTTGGATAATGCATGGATAATATATAGAGAGAAATTAAATGTTAACCACCTCTAAAGTTTAAGTAGAAACCTAAATTCTTCTTTCAATTAAACTTTTAGCAGAACTTTCAGTCACAGTTCAAAATTTGCAGGACAAGATAATTCTTCATTACCTAAAGGTCTTGTGGGCAAAGGTTTCTTTTTTTTTTTATTTTCATTACAGAACTCACTTAGTCCTGGACATGAAGTCATCATAGAGATAGCGCTGTCTCTTAGACAAGCGGCAGCGGATCAAGTGTTCATATTTCTTAGGCATCTGGGTTTCTACCTCCAGCTTCAGTCTTCTCAGCAAAAAGGGTCTTAGAACCTATAAATGGTAATGGAGAACCAATACATCAAGTCCACAGTACTACAAACACACACCGATACACAAAACACAGGTACTCCTGTGGTGAAGAGTATGTACCTCTCGACAGGAACCACTGAATGGTTGAGTGTTACCTTTCAGTGGGTTTTAGAAGAGTATCATGCTCTTGGCCAAGCGAAATTATCACATAACAACCATTGCTATGCAATATTGGATTGGATGGCCCCTTACTAATAACAAGTGTACATCAAAACACACAAAAAGATCTGGCTGCATGGTAATAAGCAATCTTTTGTACTTGGATATTCACCTGACAAAAATCTACAGTACTGCTTAAAAGTAAGTTGACAGTCCTTCAATCCTTGATTCCCTGCTCTTAAGCCTCAATTCTCAGTCCTTGATTTTCACTCTTTCATTCTCTTAACCCTTTAACTCCTTGATCAAATTTGTTATTCCCCTTACTGTCAACCATACAATTCTTATATTGTCAGTTCAGATAATTTAGTATTGGATCAACTAATTATCCCCAAATTGATATTTTTCTTTATTCTCATCACTTATCTGGTTGATATTGTATTGATATTGTAAGGGGAAATTCTGTGTTGGTCACTCATGAGAGTTAAAGGGTTACATTTTGAGGATCCAAAATCGAGTTTGCATCTAGACTATCAATTTACTTTTGAGTAGCACTGTACAAATAGAGACAACTATTAACAATACATTGAAAGCACTGATGTTTCTGAGTACAATACTCTCATGTGGTGCAAATGAATTATTTCTCGTTAGAAAAGTGAAGCCTTGCACATTGTTTCCCCACAGTTCTTAACCAGTCAAAAAGCACTGGAAGCATTTGCATTCACATCTTGCAACTGTCTTTAGTTTCAAGGCATCTATGCTTAAGCTTGTCTATCACAGTTCATGTACACCAGAAGTATTTGCATTTATGCCAGGTTGCCACCCATGGCTTCAAAGCACCTAACCTTAAGCCTGCAAATGACAGTTTAGGGAGACCAACCTTATGAAGCCTTTTGATAAGTCCTTCATTGTACTCCCTACTCCCTTCAATCATGCCAGACAGAGGATTTGAAAACCATTCTTTGAAATCTTTGTGAGACTGGAAAACGTGTGGCATTAGGAAGTGCATAAGTGACCAAAGCTCCATCAAACTGTTCTGAAGGGGAGTCCCTGTCAAGAGTAGTCTGCAGTGGCTATTGAAGTTAAGAAGATACTGCCACCTTTGGGACTTGAAGTTCTTGATGTTTTGAGCCTAAACCAGGATTACCATGAATTCAACAAACAATAAGTTAAAACATCAAACAGTAAATGGTTTGAACTCAGGAGTAGCATTGGATTTTGTAGTCTGATTATTTAGGGTTGAAGAAACATCAGTCACCACTACTGACAACAGTCCTTCCCAGGACTACTCTCACCCCAACAACCAGACTACACAATCAGCTATTTAATGCTGTTTGGATGCAACAAACAACAATGGCAGTCTTCACGGAAAAAGGAAAATCAAACTAAGGTTTACATATTAATCACCTCATCTAGAATGAAGTATTTCCACTTCTTTCTGCGGAAAGCCTGATGATCTTGAATGACCAGCTTGTATGATGTGATACAAACATGAAAAGCATTTGGTTTTGTCCAACCCTGAAGCAATAAAAAGTTTTTGTAATCATATTTGTATTAAATGGTATATCACATAAAATGAGAAGTACTGAAACTTTATCTCTGCTTCTTGATCCTAGTGAATTCCTCTACAGAAAATAAAAACCTCTGTGAACTCAAATTAGTATACTGTGCACGAGGGATCTCCTTAGCAAATGCAGAACCAAATTAGTGCAATCAATTTTTCTTTTAAGGAATGGATATACAAAGACATTGACAAACACACCTGTCTCTTAGCTTTCCTCTCTTTTTGATTGCCATAATAAGTCAAGATTTTGAATCCAGGACACCATTTCTTGAACTCCAATTCCCAGTTCAGCATCACAGATGTGGGAACCACAACCAAGTGAGGACCCCAAACACATTTCTCACAAGCCAGGTGGGCAAGCAGTGCAATTGTTTGGATAGTCTTTCCCAAACCCATCTCATCTGCAAGGATGCCATTAAGGTGCTTTTCATGCATAGTCACCAGCCAGTCTAGGCCAATAAGCTGATATTCTCTAAGGACACCTCGCAGCAGGAATGGCACTTTGGTCTTAATCTGAAAGAAGAAGAAATTTTAAAAAGCAGTATAGGCAGGTTATTTAAACAAAGTGATGGTGTTGTTTGGCAAAACTGTGCTACATATCATCTTCAGCTCAGCAAACTGATTAATCAAACATCTATCTCTATAACCAATATTGGGGAAAGGAGGAGGGGGTTGGTGGGAGGAAACTTAAAATTCATCATTTTACTTCAAATAGCCTAGTCATAGAGAAACCTTGAAGCCAAAGATGGTCTTGAAACTACCCCCCTTGGTAGGATTTATTCAATTTACAGCCCTTTTTTTTTCGTCTTTTTCTTGTCTTCATGTAACATAACAAAGTACATTCAACAACAGTCTGATCCTTACATCAGTTGTTTCTAAAGTGAATCCTCGAGGTTGCAAGCTCTGTGCTGTTGCTGCAGCATCTGTCAATTCTTGGTCTGGATCAGAATCTGCATTCTGCAGAATACAACAAAACAAATTCAGCCACTTGCATTTGCATAGTTGCTCAGCTGGCAACAGTTGGGCTCCATATGCAAAGAGAACCCTTTGTACAGAAAAGCATCTCTTTGATCATTTCTGCAAACCTAACATCTGAGGAGAAAACACACCTGTGATTCACTGGCTCCATCTTTCTCTTGTTGCACAAGGTATTCTGTCCCCTCAGTATCACTCAACTCTACAAGGAACAAAAATATCAACTATTAAAGGGACTGCTAACCTTGCAAAAGTTACACTTCATACCCACCTTCATCAGATGATTCTTGTGAACTCTCTTCTTCAGTCTGTAAATCTGTAGATTCATTCTCAGCAGCACTATACATCTTCATCAATTCCTCAATGGGCATCTCACCTGAGATGAGAAAATTTCCAGATATTCTTACACAAAGACAGCAGAAGTACACAGATAAGATATTAAGTACCTTGATGATAAATTGACACAGTGAAGCATAAAAATCAATAACGAAAAAGCCACACATGTCGCAATAATTGTATTGATTTTAAGTCAGTTTAGCCCCAAACTTTCATCTTTTCCTCATTTCATGAATGGATAACACTAGGAAAAAGATACTTAAGTAGCTAATCACTTTTTTTTTCCCAAATAGTTATTTTTCACTGAATGGGAAGTTTCTCTGAGGGCAAAGTAAAAAGATTGGAACAATGATTAGGATGAGTTTGATATTAATTTAAAGCTATATTGATATCATGTAGCTACCGACAGGAACCACTAACATGCGAGTTACAAAATGCCAATGGGTTTTATAGCAGCATTGAATTTTGGCCATGATTTGCAAAACCTAAGGCTAAGGAAATTCCTCAGGGAACAAGCAAATGGCCACTCAGAAAGCAACTTGTATAGCTTTGCTCATATAAAAACTTTTTAGAGTCCTGCACCCTCGATTTCTGGGATCAATGTCAGTACCTGAGCAACTGCGCACCTGCCCTTCCCCTAACCCAATAACAGTCAACTGATAGCAAGTTAGGGTAACTTTTGGGTCAGGGGAGGGATAGGTGAGCAGTTGTTCAGATACTGACATTGATCCAATTTCTGTGGCACAAGCCTTCAGACACCTGTGTTTCTATTAAGACCAAGGGAATATATGTATACTTTCATAAGCTCCTGACAGTATGGGATACCTTCCTTCTGGAGATTATCAATTTCACTTTTGTGATCATCTCCTTCTTCCAGCTGTTCCTCCTCTTCTAATGTCTGTTCATCGTCTTCTGTGCCTCCTTCTGTCATCACAAAGTCTTCATCAGCTTCAGCAACTTCTCCACTTCCACTGGCATTCCTATATATCATGGTTTCAAATTGAATAATGTCAAAAAAAGAGTTGAATATTCTTCACAACTCTTAATCTATTGACAGTATCTCACTGTATATTTGGGTTGAATACAAATTTGATGAGACAAAATCGGAGCAAGGGTTTCTGTGAGTGTAAAAGGGATGAATAAAAAGGATCTCTTGAAGCTGATAAATAAAGGAAGTAAGTTTCTAAAAAAAAAAATAGCACTGTGTTGGTGGAGATATTACAAGATAATTTGGTTTACCAACTGAGTTGATATTGTAAATTGGCCACTGTAAAGAATTTATAAAGCTGATGTTTCGAGCATTAGCCCTTTGTCAGAGGTTGAAGGACTAAAGCTTGTCATCAATTCAGACAAAAAACAAAATCAACTCAGTTGTTAAACTAAACCAAAATATTTGAAGCTCCTAGCTGTCCTACTCTGCTCATCTTTGGTGGTTACACATTATAACACACATGTTGGCAATAACTTCTCCAAAACAAACGAAACACAACTACAAATATATCAGAGAAGACAACTTAACATGATGTATGGTAAGTTAGTATCAATTGCAGATTAAAAGTTTTACTTGATCTTTGTTGTATCCTGTTTTTCTTTAGGTTCTTCCTCTTCATCATTGTTCCCTTCAACATCCACTTCTACATCACTATCATCACTTTCTTTGCTGAAATTTTGGAAATCAAAATTGAAAAAAGGAATGTCAGCATGAGAGTACTACTGATTGATTGTGAGGCATGGTCATCCAGTTGAGAGTAGTCCTGAAAAAGACTGTTGTTGCTAGTAGTAACTGAAGTTTTGACAACTGAGTAAAAGACATTTTAAGAGTCAAATAAATCTTGAACTAACATATCCAAGATTTTGCGCCAGAGCAAGGGAGCTATTCATGCATTTGCACAAGGATATTTAATTTGCTTCTCTTAAAGGACAAAAAAATTTAACTTGTAAAGGGAATCACTATCTGTCTGGAAAAAGTGTTTCACAACTTACTTGTCACTCTTCATCTATCTTTTTATAATTCTCATGGCAAGCTACTTAATTTTTTTCTTGTTTTTCATAAGAATGCAATGAATCTCATCTGACTTATTTTTTACCTTGACCCCTCACTTTCATCCTCAGCTGATGAATCTTCACCGTCTTCAGAGCCATCTTCATCACTTCTCTCTTCTAACATTTCTGGTGGCAAGCTCTCCAGAAGTTTTTCCAAGGGAATCTCGCTTTCTTGTCTTAACAAGTCAAGCTCATTTTCTCTTGAGGCAGATTCTTCATGTGCCTCTTCAATTTCAATTGTTTCTTCATCATCATCAGCTTCCTTAGTAAGTTCAAATTCACTGTCACCACCTGTTTCAGGTTTGGATGAGACAGGGGAAGAGGGACCAGTGGACCCTCCAGAGGCATGACCACTGGATGGTGGAACAGCAAGACTCTCTGCTAACCAGGAAGAATATTTCTCTGTCTGATCTACAATGAAGTTTAGCTGTAGATCTAGAGCTTTCTTTCTGTTCTCCTCTAATCTGCTCTGAACCTTGTATTGAACCACCTTAAAGATAAAAATTTCACTTCAAAAAGTCTTCCCAAACATACCCTCCATCGGGAATAAGAAAACTCTTTGCTTGCCCTTTTTCTGGCTTGAAAAAACCAACAACAACAATGCTCTGCTATAAGATTGTATCATCTTCTTGTTTTTTTCTTTTCTGAACTTGGATGTAAATGCAAAAGATATGCTCTACAGATGTAGCAAACATGAAAAAAATTATTTTCATTCCATGGTAATTTGAAAATGCATGGATTGTTAAAGGAAAATATGCTCAACCCCTGGAGAACCCTTAACACATCTCAATACAAAAGAGCTAAGAAAAAAACCTTTTCAACTGAACCCCAGAATTGCTTGATTTCTTTGGCAATGCTTGCTGCAATTTTTCGGAGACGGACAGATTCCTCCTTCTCTGCTTTCACTTCTTTGCTTCTCTGCTCCTGGTGGTATTTCAAGACTGCTCTGGACAGCTGTGAGAAGAGATGCTTATTTAAGTAGCAGTGGATAATGATTAGTGCAGAAATCGCCAATCACTGAAGTCCCACCCCAAATTTTTCACGCCCAAATCTAGGGGAAAAATCTTTGTTAAGGTATGATAGAACCTAATAAGATATGACAAATAAATTATTTCACTATCAAAAAGAAAGTTGCTGTAGAGCTTAATTTGTCATTCAAAGTACATTCTGAAGGTAGGTTACACTGTTGGTTTGATTTCCATCCAGATTAACCCTTCTCACTTATATAAAGTGGTAATATGGGAGTAAAAGGCTCCTGAGAGATGTTTGAGCAAGGGACAATGCTGAAATGCGAGCCAGAAGTAAAAAGCACAAACTTTAAGACTCAGGGACTCCATAAATTTTATACTAGGTGGGACTCCTGAAGATCTACAGTCTAGAAAAGCACACCTTCTTGCAAATGCCTCTTTTCCATCTTCTTTCTTGTAAAAAGTCAGTTGCCAGCCACTGCATTTCCTCCAAGAGATAATCCCAATGCGCTTTGCATCTTGTCATTTCCTGCACTTTGGGAAGGCGGGATAAAGCCCAGAGACCTTCCTTACGAAGTTCAGAAACTCTCTTGAGAACTTCAGCCTCCTTCTTAGCTTCAACTGCAATATCCTCTTGAGAGATAAATGAATGTTGCTCAAGTACAGATGTTAAAGACTGACTTCTTGTGTTCAAAGTTGATTTTGCTCCATGAGAAAGCAAAGTAGGTCCATTAGCAATTGCTGGGTTAGAGACTCCTGCATGTGGTATATTTACACCTGGCGTATGATTAGGTGTTGGTGTAACATTTGTAGAGTCACTTCCAAAATGATTGCTACTATGGCCTTGTGTAATGTGTGGTTCTAATGGAGGATTTGGTAAAGATAGTGATCGTGAATATGGCGGAACTGAACTGCCCACATTCGACCTTGGAATAGGTTGGTTTCCAGTAAAAGGAGAAACATTAGGTGCAATTCCTTCAGTAACTGATAGCTGTGATTTGAAACTTGGATTTCCACTAAAATTACTGGGAACTGCTTTGCGTGGATCAAGACCTGCTTGCTCATAAACCTGTCTCTGTAGTGAGGTGTAGTTGGTTGCTCCAGGATTACTAGACTCAGATTGTTGTTGCGGCCACTTGAATAGCCTAGGTGACGCTGTCATTGGTGATAGTGTAGGATTTGTACCAGACGCATCATCTAAACGATTAGAATTAAAAAATGCTTGAAATGCTGGGTTTGGTCTTTTCTTCCACAACAAGAAATCCATCATATTTCCTCCAGTTTGAAGAAAGCAGAGCTCTTGGAGTTTTTCACGATAATTAGCTTTTAATGTTTCAAGTTCTCCATTGTAATAACTAATGATAAACTGCCGCAGTTTTGTCATTTCTGAAAACTCCCCTCCTAGCACAGTAGATTTTTCTCCTACTCTACTTGGAATTCCAAGAGTTCTACTAACATTCAGAGCAGCATGAGGATTCATAGAACCCTGGGGACTTGCCACAGACTGAGTTCGAGATGTTGCTGCACCAGGTGACAACTGATTTGGAAATGCTGCTGGACTCTGAAGTGTTGGGGTTCTGTGAGGGGTATTATATCCAAGATGGTGAATGGTTCCTCCAGGAGAGTGTCCGCCTCCACTGTAAACAAATTGCTGTTCTCTTGGGCTTGAAAAATCCGGAAATTTAGGTTCAGAAGAATACGGTATTGGAAAGTTTGGATCTGCAGGACTTAACTGTGACGTATCAGCTAAGCCAGGATAAAAGTCAGGAGTTTTTAACGCAGTGCCTCTTGGGCTTACTGAGCCTGGTCCATGAGAAAGAGTGTATGTAACACTACTGGGTGTTGCACAGGAGGGCGTAGCAGGAGGTGCTGAAGGAGAAGGTGCTGGAGATACATACATAGGAGATGAAGACGGGTAATGTGAAGGTGAAACTACAGAATGAGGAAATGGAGATCTTGGAGAGAGTTCTCCTGTTGATCCTACAGGTTGACTAAAACTTCTCTGGAAATGGTGAGGGAAATTTCGATGAGGACTAACAGGTTGAGTGGAGCGAGTTGGACTTGGAGCTGTTCCAGCCCCATGAGGTCCCATATAGTGGAATGACCTTTCCGAATATGGTGAGGTTGGTACATTTTCTGGCACGTTGCTGTGAAGTCTTTCCGAGTCGTGAGAAGGTGTCCTGCGAGCTTTTCTGCGCGGAGTTTCATCGTGATATTGCGACGATTCGCTCGTTCGTCGCATCATTTTAACTCCTTGAGGTGCTTGTTTGACATAATATTCCTATTCCTTAAGAGAGGTGGCAAAAAGATCCTGCAAGAGGAAATGCCATTTTATGTCAATTTCATACGAGGCAGAGCATGCGCGATTCTGCCGCCATATTGTTTTCCGTAACCGACAACGGCTAATGCTACATTTACAAAATTGGTGACCTTAACTAAACCATCCGCTTAAAATTTACCTACACCTTCCTCCATCATTAATGTTCTGATAATTCCATGTGGTTTTGGAGGCGTATTACGACCTCTTTCGTGTGAAAATTTTGAGAAATTGCCCTCTCAAGCCTCATAAAATTTTCCCTACAACGACAGGCTTGATATGCGCTATAACAGTACACCACCCAAGTGCATTATGGGTGCATCATCATAAAGGAGGCTCGGTAGCAAGGCAATTACGCGCCAAAAAATGTCAATAACACGGAATAAATTTAGCGACGAAGAAATGTCTGACATAAATCTTGATTTCAAGCATCGATGTCTCAAAAAAACCTGATAAAAAATTTTTAAATTCAAGCTATGTTTACGAGTTAAAATTACGTAGCATCCCTAATCTCAAGCAAACCGAGAAGTAGTCAATGCACCAAAGTGAGGCTGCCTCTCAGTGGCGCGAAGGACGAATAATTTACAAACATAACAGTGTAAATTCACGAAAATTTAGCGATAATTATGAGGCGTTCTGCCGCGCCTTCGGCGAGAGCTGCAAAGAAAATGAAGTTTTGTTCGCCGTTTAAAGCTCAAGACCAGGAGCCTTCCGTAGAAATCTCCACAACGCGTTCGGTTTTGCAGCAATCATACAAAAACCAGGTGAGCCAAGCAGCAACATGCCAAATTCAAACCATTTACATATAATTAAATTTTCTTCATTTTATGATGACTGTTTCAGTTGACTCAAAAGTTCTTGAAGATGAATTTTTTCCTCTCGGTTGTATCCTAGGTGACTATACCAGAGATCAGAGCTGAGGTCTCTAAATCTGACCTAAAGACTGCAAGCACGAATACCCTCTTACCAAGGTTTCCTAAAGATTTTACAGTTCAAAATAGGAAAGAAGTGAAATCTGACGATGAAATAAAAGATACCACCTCCACAGGTCTTTCATATCCTTCACTTAGCAGTAAAGTAGCACCTTTCAAACCTCAGAGATCTTCCAAACCAGGTTCTCCTTTAGGTAAGTTTTAGAATTTATTGATTGTCATCATCAACCATAACAGGGAAGGTTTCGCCTTTAAGTCTTTCTTTTCTTTTTATTTTTAGTGCCATTTGAGGAAAAAGAGAATATTTGTCGATACTTCAGCGTTGTTTGGTTAGTTACAGATACAATTTATCAACATTTGCATTAGTTGATTTTGTGGTACAACATGCATTTTTTGCACATAAGTTTGTTATTAAGAAGCACTCCTTTATTAAAATTTGTCTTATCATTTTAGGGGAAAGATGTCCAAAAAGAAGGTACTTTGGCAATTTCTGACAACTTTGATTTTTGGTGATGTTTTTTTAACTATTTGCTATTCTGTTTTCTCTAATTCTTCATTTTGAATACTTTGATTATTTTTAGCACAAAAAGTGGGAAGGAGATGGTAAGAAAAAAGAGAGTTTTCAATATTTTTTTTATTTCCAGGTTGCCTCTCTGGCAAACTGAAGAAGAATAAAAAATTCAAAGGAAGAAGTAATTTTAGAGTTGTGGAATTTACTTATGATTGCAATATTCTAATATTGCAACTATCAAACCCACATTAGACAATCAAACACAATCACATTTTACAATGTTCCTATGGTCAGACTCTTCTTAAAATATTTTGGAAGAATAATTGACTGTTCAAGTTGTAGGAATGATTTTGATGACTATTATTTTTTTGGACTCCTAGGTATACTGGTTACAAGAGGACGGACAGCTTCCTTAAAAGACCTGGAAGGAAAAGAGTAGGTAGATGGAGAGGAATGCAAGGACACTTGGAATTTCTTATGCTGAGAAGGGACACTGAACCTTCTGCAACAGAGATATTAAGGTGTCAGTCACAAAAGAGTCTCACCCAAGCCCTCCACTGATCAAAAAAACAAACTTTTTTGTCTTCAGAATTGCAAAGAGTGCTGGTTACAAGTCATCAGAGTTGGAGTTGCTGCAAGAAGGAAACACACTGTGTATTGGTGGAAAAGAAATAGAGGTAATATTGGTTAAGCGTTGGAGCTTAATGGCCTGCATCTGCCAGTGCTTATCCACAGTTTCTGTACTGCTAAGTGTTGTACTCCTGGTTAAGTTAAAAAACACTTTATTAATGAGGATTATAAATCAAATTTTCTTGTTGATTTGATTTTTTAAATTTGTGAGGTGTTCTTTCAAACATAGAAATATTTCCGGTTGTTGCTTCTTTTTTTCCTAAGAAAGGCAACAAATAGAAATATGAATGTGTTCGTAAGCCATCTAATATGTTGTCAGCTGTAGTTTTCACTTTTATTTCTTACTTAAGCTGATTTCTGGTCATCATGGGGTCTTTTTGTACTAATGTTCTTTGCCTCTTTTGGTTGTGTGTCCTGCTGAATATGATGATTAGTCTGAGTTCTTTTTCAGGTGATGGGTCTCATAAAAGCAGAGGATTACCTAAGTGGACAGTGCTTTCAACAATCAATAGTGTTGTCATTCCCAACAAAACCAATCTCTAGAATGCCTCCAAAAAAGACAGGTATGAAATTTTTAACCAAGTCAGCTTAATTCTCAGTGGGGTTGCTAGGCAACAACACTCATTATTTTGAAGTTTTGATGGCACATGTTTTGAATAGCACATGGTGTGATGATAAACTTTCTGATCCCAAGAGGGACAAGCATCTAATTTCTCCGTACAATATCACCCCTGAATCAAACATTAAGGTCAGGAGAGTAAAGTGCATGATCACCAACTAAAGAAGCTCATGATTGTTTAACAAATTCTCCTTGTCAGCAACTTAGGAAATGTATAGAGAACAGTATGGGTAATATGCTTACTGATGTTAGGTTGTAAAGGGCTAAGGTTTGTCTGTAAGCTTTACACATCCTCCCTTAGTTGGCACTGATCAGGTGTCAATGAGATTGTGGAGTTTTATCTCTATATTGAAGAAGCCATGAAAAGTTTAGTTGAGCAACTGTCTCTTTAAGTGCCATGTACCCACTTTGATATTAATCTGGCATAGAGAGGAAATTGTGTGTCTGGTAACGAAAAGTAGAAAAAGTGCCGGGAATCAGAAGACGTTGCATTCAAGTTTGAAAAAAACTCTCAACGAGGAGAAACTCTCTTCGAAGAACCACGGAAGTTTGCAATCAGTCCCTTCATTTCCCAAAATTGGTGGGCGACGGATTGAAAAAAGTAAATGGTCGTGCAAAGCCACAGGCAGATTTTTCCCCCAAACATCGTTTCCAAAATAACTACTTTTTGCGAACGATCTGAACTAGAAAGAACCGGAAGCGGAAGTTACGGCAGGGACCGTGGGGGGGGTAGATCTCCTTTCCCCTCCACCTCTCCTCCTTTCTGACAACAGTGATTTGTTATAATTCTTTGTTGATGTTAGAAGATTACAGTCATTTTAGTTTTTGACTAGTCTTCGCTGCACAAACTCCAGCATATTACTTTACTCTCGAGTCGTCATCTGCCAACCGGATTATCTGGTACTACAGGGGAGAATAAACTCGCCAGAACACTGTTGTTGAAGTAAAGAAATGATCCTCCCAGGTGAGCAGAAAATAAAGAAACTGCAGATGAGAAGTACGGAAATTTTTTACTTAAATTCTGCGCTTTCCAGATATCAGCTAACTCCACTAACAACTGAGCTACGAAGCCACATGGTGTCTTCGAGATCGAGAAATTTTTATTATCGCTATTTTGTTTTCACAACGTAGGGGAAAAATACCATGTAAAAGTTCTTTTCAAAAGCTTTCTTTTGACTAGTCAGAGAGGACAATTTTTTACAAAAAGTAGGACTCGTCAGGAAATGTTTGCATACTTTAAAGAATTAGTCACCCACAAAACTAATGCTAGAAAGCTTAATTGACTCGAGATGAGCCGTTTAGCTTGTGGGAAATTTAATATCGCGTTGCCAAGCTACACCATTCACCCCTAATTTACTTATCAACTGCTGTCTGAAAAAAATACTCCTAGAAAGATATGCAAGGTCCTCTGAGGTCATTTGCGTTATAAATCAACTGATAAAAATTTCGAATTGTAACGATCAATTTCTCACAAATTCGGTTACCTTAAACATTATTTCTCCCCAATAAAAATGGCTTTATTTTGTAAAGAAACAAAAATGACCTTGAAATTGTTATTCAGTAAAGTCGCATTTTCTTCAAAGTCTCGCCCAGACTTGTCGACTGAAGAATTTCCTCCAAATCCTTTTGATTTTTCTCGTCAACTTGTTTTCTTTTCGCTATCCAGTCATCTTTGGCTGCGAAACCTCGGTCGATCATCAATAGCTGCAGCCAGTCATAATCTGACAGAGCCTTCAGTTGAACGCCTTTCTCCACCAACTTTCTCAAACCAATGGCGTTATCCTCCGCGACTTTCTGCACGCGGACGTGAATATTGTGCAGATGGGCGAAGCGAATCGACACACTAACACTATCGTTTTGCGCGAGCCAGCCGCAGATCTTCTCCGAGCACTCTCCGCACGGCGAAAAATTGCTAAGAAGCTGTAGATCGTGTAGGAAGCCCGTGAACGGGTGTTCTTCAAGTTCCACAATCGACTGCTTGAACGCGTGGGTCGATCCGCTCCTGTAAACCTTTCGTGAAAGGATTTTTCCGTCTCTTCCTCTCGCTACAGCAAGCACGACAACTTCTGACGGCCAAAAACCGCCTGGCACGCCAGACTTTAGAACGGCTGTCAAGTCGAAGTCTTCTGGAGTAGGACTGTGTGGTGTTATTGCAGAATTAGCCATGCTGACAAAAGTGAAAGTTGTATGTAAAGTTCAAATTGGTTTGTAATTCCGGCTGGTTATGTTCACGAGATTGGTAATTTTATACGACGCTGCCTATCACTTAATATGACATTAGGCCTCTTGGGTCAGTAAACACTCGTTATTTCGAGCATCTCTAGTTTTTATTTATGAAGATGATTTACTGTAATGTAATACCTATGGATGCTCTGACATCGATCTGGGCAGCTTATTATTATACCCTTGTTGTCTCTAGTAATTCAAGTTACAATGGATAGGGTAGGGTTTTCAAAACATTTCACTAGAGATAAATCGGTGAACACTCACGACGTGAAAGAAATCTTTTATCATCGACAAATCAGTCAAGCTCTCCTAACATAAAAATAAAACCAAAACATTTCTACAATAAGCGAGATGTTTTTATGAAACCTCAAAAATTTCAACGATGAAAAAGACCGTAACTCGTTGTCAACATTAGAAGACACATTTCTGCTAATTTTGAATTATTATTCAGTAGGCTTATTAACTCTGAAGTGAAACTTCAAGGTCATATTTGTGCATACTAACTTTTGTTTACTTAAGCTGCGTTCTTTACTTTCGAAGCGCCTCGTTATTTTTTGCTTAGTGCGCTCTGTCTCCCGTTTACATCCGCATTCTATTTTGTTTTTTTTCGAAGGCCCGACCAAACGCACGAAATACTTCAACGTAACATCTTGCAACATTATTGATTCATGTTGTGCAATGAAGTGAAGGAAGGAGCGCTGATATTGAAGATCTGCCCACAGGCTAGGCCGAGGCTTAACCCTTTACACCCTAACATCAGCATACACAATCTCCATACTGTTCTCTATACATTTCCTAAGGTGCTGACGAGGAGAATTTGTTTAACAATCAAGAGCTTCTTTAGGTGGTGATCATTTCCTTTATTCTCATGATCTTAAATAAATGATTCAGCAGTATTATTGTCAGGAGAAACTAGATGCTGGTCACTCTTAGGGTTTAAAGGCTTAACAAACAAATCACTATTTGACCAGACATGTAGTTGTGCTTTAAACAATCCGATTGGTTACAAAAGTCGTGCAATGCAACATAGACTCAACAATCAGGAGAGCATGTTATAATTCATCCAAGCAGAAGGAAAACCAAAATTCATTTAATTACCTAATGAATTGACCTATGAGCGTTTTTTCCCTAACCGATTGCATATTTTCCCGACCCGCCCTCCCCCCCCCCCTGCACAACCTGCCCGCCCTCCTCTCCCTCACAACCTGGCCCATCCGCACAAGCAGTATATTTTCACGCAGTTACCCGCGGCGAGATTCCCCCACTTCAATTCCCGCCCCTGGAGTCAGTTACATCCTTTTTCGTCTAGATGGTTTTGTGTTTCTGTTGTTTTGGTTGCCCACTCGCAGGTAGAAAACAACACTATCAGCTATTTCGGCAGAATGCTTCGCCAAGTACTGCTACACTTGTTTTTCTTTTTCTTTTTTTTTCGAGGTTTTATCAAACCCTATTCTTCCAACGTGAAAAAAGATGTGACAACAGATACTCGACAAATGGTGGCGCCTCGACATGACGTCAACGCACCTGGAGCCGTGGTAATGCCTCGACCCAGTGCCACTCATCAGGTAACTATTGAACATCGGGATTAGTTTTGTATTGTGGTTGTTCGTCACCAGAGAGTTTGACGTCCCGAAAACTGGAGCGGAAGTCATGAACAGGTTCAAGTGTAGAGGAAGTGGTTCGTTGAAACTGTTTGTTCAGCCTTTCTGTGGTATTATTGGCTGTAGAACTCGAGTAGCGTTCGTCAATTGTTATTGGTCAGTCTCGATGAAGCTGTGATGAGAAGTTGTACTATGTAGTGTGTCGGTTTTGTTCACGTGAATATGTTGTTTGTTAGCTTCCAGTAGGAGATAAAGGCATCCTTACTGGTTTTGGTCGATAATTTACCAATCCAAGTTGCTTCTGCTATGATAGTGCTTTTAAATAATTTTTCACAGTTGGAGCACAATCGAGAGGGGCTGGATATCACAGACGTGGTAGTGGACCCACATTTGTCCGGTCATTTGAGGCCCCATCAGAGAGACGGTGTAGTGTTCCTCTATGAGTGTATCATGGGCTTGAGAAATTTCAACGGAAATGGAGCCATCCTTGCGTGAGTAGTCAAAGAGTAAAGGGATTTTCCAAACCTTGAACATCTTCAAACGGATTGAAATAAGCCAGCTAGGACAAACTGAAATAAAATAATCCAAGAATCTTAGTTATCAACATTCTAGTGAACACTTTCGGTATTAATTTTTGTAAGCCACTGGAATAGCGCGCGAAAAACTTGGATGATTAGCCACTCCGCGTCAACTTTTGGGAGAAAATTTGGCGCACTTTTCCGCTTCTTTTGTTCTAGTACAGGCTTACCAATATCTCTTTCTGTCTTTGTCTTTCGCGTTTAGAGACGATATGGGACTTGGAAAAACCTTTCAATGTATTTCTTTGATATGGTGAGACAATTTACTTTATTACTTATGCAAAGAAATGCAACCGTAATGCTCTTTTCAACGTGAATTGCCATAAACGATCTTGCAGTGTGTCATGAAATACGAGCCTGCTATCAAATTTACAGCGTTCAGACAAAGGGGAACAGATTAAGAACTATTATTTTCACCTCGCGTGAAATTGAGCGAGAAACGCGCGTTGAACTCGCATGTAGCTAGAGGCTCACGCGTTAAATTTAACGGTAGACGCGCCCTCTAAGGCATGTACCCAGTTTCGACCGAAATTCAAGCGTTATGTCCCTTTTAATCCTGACGGTTTCCAAAAGTTAATTAGGTCGGATATTCTTGTAACAGGACTCTTCATAAACAAGGCATGTACGGTGGACAAGCAAGTATCAGGAGAACACTGATTATAACTCCAGGAAGTCTGGTCAAGGTATTCTGATATCCTTTTTGTTGCGTTACATAAAATATATAAACAACAGCCTTATCTGTTCTGAGAAGCGAAAAATTTTCCGATAGAGAAGTTCGGGGAAAACTGTGAGCTTTGAAGCACATAACTTGCCTAAGGACGATTTCACGAGTGTCTCTTCAAGCCAAATTCTCAAGGCAAATATTTTTCGCAGAGCGCATAACGAGTCTAATAAGTCATCTGTTTCAATATTTTTCTTTACATTTTTTTTTCTTACTCTGTTCAGAACTGGAGTTCGGAGTTTCGCAAGTGGCTTGGTAACGAGAGGTTGAAGGTTTATACAGTGAACTCGGACAAGAGAGTGAAGGTAAAAAACGAACACACGCTGGGGGGGGGGGGGAGGGAAAGGGTACAGATGTGCCCATTTACTGTTTTTGAGTTGATAATGAGTAGAAAGAAAGTTCTGTTATAGAACGGAATCCTGCAAATAGAATAAGATGCTCTACCACTGAGCCACAGAGAGTGGTGAGCAGAGCTAGACCGTAGTTTAAATGTGACATGCGTGAGATCGGTTGTTAAGAAAGGAAATGAGCCATTCGTGAAAGAAAGGAAGAAAGAAAGAAAAGAAGAGGATCTGAAAACTGAGACGCAACTTTGAGTCCCTCACGAGGATTCCAGTCTCCCACGCGGACGTTGTCAGTTTGCGTTGCGACACGAAACCTCACAAGGGATGTGGGGGAGAACACGAGGATAATAACCATACTGGGGATTTGAACCCCACGGGGGAGTTGAACCCCCCAAGGGAAATGAACTCCACAGAGGATTTGTAGCCCACGAAGTATCTGAACCCCTTGGAGGGCTTGATTCTTACAGAATTCTCTATATTAGTGCATCGATCTAACCGGCCAGTGCCCTATTTATTTGCCTAGGATAACACAAAACGAGATATTTTTAACTTTTCTGTTGAAGGAATTCATCAACAGTCCTATTTATCCGGTGATGATCATCAGCTACGAGATGTTTCTACGCTCAGTAGAAGAAGTAAGAAACATCAAGTTTGGATTAGTGATCTGTGATGAAGCACATCGGCTCAAAAACACTTCCATTAAAACTGCCACGGTGGGTTACGTTCCTTTGCTCTATTTTGGCCCAAACCTATTCAGGTAATCTCGCCCTTTTCATCCTCAAGAGCCTTAAGAAAACGTCAAACGCTCTTCTAGAGAACATACAGAAACCTATTCAACGCGGATGAAATTTAAAACTGAACTAAAAACGCTTGAATCGAAACACATTTCGCTCTCTTTTCTCCTTGAGTCGTTTATAAATTTTATTTGCTGTGATTGTCTTCAAACGTGGTGATGTCTATCGTTTTACTTTTGTTTTTGTCAAATGAGATTTATGCGTTGAGACCTATGTTTTTTTATCATTCATCTGCAGATGATTTCTGGACTTAAGACAAAACGAAGGATTCTTCTCACAGGAACCCCAGTACAGGTTACTTTAGCCACTTATTTTCTCTTACATATATTTCGCTGGTAACTTCAAGTTTCTCCCTGACATATTATAATGTCATAGGAAGGCAAGACGGTAACCATTTTCTATTCTAAAAGGCAAAATTTGTGACGACTATGGTCAGGTCATAGCTCATAGAATTTACTCTTCTTTTAATTAAAAACTTTGTCCTTCTCTTTTACTCACAGAATGATCTCAAAGAGTTTCATTCGCTGGTCGATGTCTGCAATCCAGGGATTCTTGGTAGGTGCAAATAAATTCGAATTGTAGGACTGCTGGATTGGATCAATAAGTTGTGAACATTTTCATTACAATTTGTTAACTTTATTCATGTAAGCTATATTTGGTAGTCACGTGATATTATGGCGCAGTCGCGTCAAGGCGCGGGAAATCTTCGTGTAATCATTCGCGTCGGCCAAGAAAAATGCTGTGTCGTGTTTATTTATCACTTTAAGTGAATTACTTTGATCAGTGACGCCTTTTTCTTTAGGCACACAGTCATCGTTTCGCCGTCTGTATGAGGAACCGATCGTCCGCGGCCAGCAACCTGACGCAAGCAGTGAAGAGAAACTTTTAGGACAAACGAGGGCTGCTGAGGTGATAAATTCCGATGAAAAGCTCATTTCCTCTTACTGAATCGATAGTTAGTGCTGTAGCTCTTGGTCTCTTCAAGCTCTTGCTCACATACTTGAGAACATTTCGATCGCGTGTAGTAAAACCAAACCAAGGTAGTTACAA